TGTAAGTGATAAGCTGTCTTTCAAATCGCGAGCTTTTATTAATGTGCTTATCAGTGTGCTTTTATCAGCTTTTATCATTCCAAATGGTTTGAGTATGTGTCAGAAGAACGGCACGAACTCTTGGACCCACTAATACTTACCATTATTCAAATGGAGCTTTATTGAGACCTTTTTATGACATTTGTACACAACGCGAATTGATTGACTTCATCTCTACAAGAAGTAAAAGAGTAAACAATATCAAATGCATAAGCACAGTAAAATTATAAAATTAATGTATTTTTCCTAGTCAACATGGTGATAATGAAAAAAATATTCAATTTTTGTTTCTCCCGCCTTGTATTTTGTGCGATCGCGATTAGAGCAATAGCGACGCGTGCCAGAGCAGTACCCATTTTTTTGCGATCTCCCATTTTGTGGGCGGACCTACTGCGCGAGCTAACCACGAATGTCTAAGTTCCGCTTCAACGACTTTTGAAATTCCAGCCTTACCATCCGCTCTGGATCCACCATGTTGTCGCGATCATATCGGGACCAGGACATGCCAGCGGCTGCAGAAGTCTTACCAACGGATGTTCTCACGAAGGTGCAACTCAGATGCCGAATTCAGGTGCATTTTTCCTTTGATGCTAGTTGATGGTTACAACGAGTTATACATAGAAGTATATGGAACTGCAACTGAGTATTACACAAAAATAATGCACGCTTTTCTTACCTCTTCTTTCAAGCGAAGCCATGTTTCTTGAAATTTTCTCCAACATTCGCAGGGGCGTTTTTCGTGCATATGCCTTCGCTTTCGCTTTGTCCACTCTAGAGTTATATGCCTTCCGAAGGACGAATCTCAAACTTTTTTCACTCTCTTTGCCCTTCATCGATGATTATAGCATCTAACCCAAAGAACATGACAGCTGTGAAGCTTCTACAAAATGTTTCTCTATGCGTAATTTTTCAAAAAATCTTGAGATATTAACGCATTGTCTAATCGTTGGCACCATTCCGTGGCGTGTAAAATTCTCAAGCAAACAGCTGTTGCTGAACCTTAACACCGTACAACAAGAGTGGACCTATCAAGTTTGGTGGAAGGAAAATGCTACGGTTCTCAATTTCCAACAGAAATTCACAATTTTGAGAGGATCAGTTTTTTGCTACAACCATATTGGCAGATAACGATATCTGCAATAATTCTCTGCAATTTCTTTCCAAAAGAATTTCCAAAGATCTAAGCTGGGTACCACTGCTCAATCGAACATTGTCTACAAATGAGCAGGGGGTGGACCATTATTACAGACTGAGTTATACTCTCCAAAGTTGAGCTTTTTAAGGAATTTTTTGAAATATTGAGGGCCAAAACCTGCCCGTAATGGCCGCGATTTCACAAAAGTAATGTTACAGTGAAGCTTGCTGTTCGCAGTATATCTATTGCGCTCAGAAAGATCTTTCTGGAGAAGATTTATGTTGAAAGAGTTGAATTATAAAAGTTGTGCATGATTTTGCACTAATAACTGTACATACCAGACTTTCTTTCTTTTACTTTGAATGTTATGCAGCGTTTTTGTCATTTTCAGACTAATTCAATGCTGCTCAACTTGCAATCTGGACAAAGAAGCGCTTAATTATGATGCTATTGCAACAGCGCTGGTGTCAGAGCAATGTACTGATCGTTATGGCGACAAATTTTGCACAAGTTAAGTTTTTACTTCCTAATAAAGGGATGCACCTTGAGCGATATATAGTTTCAGATATGTGAATTCTACTGATGCGTATGAACCAAATCGAACATGGACCTGTGATGGCAGGTTCCCTCAAATTGCATTCAGAGCATGTCGGAAGTCTTGCGGTTACTGCGATTTCTCAGTTATTGAGTACAACTTGGAAAATGCACTGAATTCTTGCAAGGTTTGACTCTAAGGAAATAGTTGCACGAATATGTATTGAGATTTCCAGAAGAAGGAGATATCAGGAGAGTCTCAGCTTGATGCTTGGAATAGAGCAAGCATACACTAATACTGGATGGAAGGCGTTAGATCCAGGATGCACATACATACGAGTTGTAGTCACTTTCCGAATCGCAGCTCATAGATTTGACTAGATTTTTTTATCTCTAGATTATATCCGCGATTTCTTACGAATTCTTGATATTTATATAAGCACGATTTTTTGTTTCTATTTATTGCTTTTCTCTTTTTCTTCTGTTTCCATCGTCGAATGAGTTGGATGACTCTTGATCGTTAACTTCAAAAATAAAGAATGCCTGCACAAGCCTATGATTTTCAAGACAGATGAAACTGCAAAAATACAGCCACAGGGAGACTAAATCTCTCCCGAGAAAGCATCTCACAATAAGTGAGAAAAATCATCTTCCATTCTATTTTCACGTAGTATTCGGGCACGTATAGGAGCAGCGGCCGTGTTCACCAAACAACCCAGAGGGTTACGAAGCCTGATGGTTAACGCATATTGCAGGTTGTTTTCATTAAAGGCACTGTCCGGGTGAATTGGAAGAGCGGGTTTTGAGCATTGTGAGGGCGCTGCTCCTGACTAACGTAACAGTTCCGGTCCGATCGAAAAAGGTGGACTCTGGAGCGAGAAAATTGCTCCAGAGAAAAGAGGCGATAGTACTAACGACCCTTTGACAAGGTTTGACGTGGTGAATGCGCTAGATCTACTGTACCGACCACGTC